TTGTGTATAGTTTTCATTTCTCTGTCACCTGTCATTCTCTCAAATATATTATATTTCCAGCCATTTCAGTCTATTAGCCCTCATGATGCCACTAATTGATCTATGGTGATTTAAATGGATTAGCAATGGTGTTGCTTCTTCTCATTCTCCACTCCCCTCTATTTGCATCACTGATAAATAAATAAAACTTTTCTTTAAAAAAAAAAACCTGTGACAAGGCCTTTTCTATTTTAATTGGGTTTCAGATTTCAGAACCTAATAATAAAACTGGTCTTATAAGTATTTTATATATTAATGTTCAGATCTTTCAAGATGTCAGTGTTTCTCCTCTTCTTTGACCAAAACATTCTGAGAATCTTTCCATAGCATTTCAGCTCAAAAACCCCTATTCTCTTTCTTAAGGACTCGGAGATAGCCCACGACTCTCATCCGTATGTTGCTACAGGGAAGATGCATGCTTTCAAAATTCTAATTTTGATCTCCTTGCTTGTGCTTAACCATAGACTTTTAATGCTGCTTAAATTATAGATGTATAGATACGTTCAAATCAATATTTTCCCACTGTAAATTAAACAATGTGGACACAAACAAAACACTGCACATTGCCTGGAAAATGTTGTTGTTATTCAGTGCCAGCAGAAGAACAGTTATCTTTTAAAACCAGCTGACTCCAGCTATGTTTAGGTAATTGTGGTACACACTAGGCAACACTGGTAAACAGTTTTAGGCAACAATGGTAAACATTATTTGTTAATGTTGGTAAACATTACCAGCCAACTGACCTCCAACTATGACTGGGTCGACAAGTGTGTGTTACACAAATTCCTCATGAGTCACATTTTAAAAATACATGATTTATTGGTCCCACAATTTGTACAATTCAGGGAAATAGAATAACCAATCAATGAAACATGTGAAGTACCAGACATTTTCATAAACAATTAAATTATTACAACCACCGCCATAAATCAAACATGTCTAGTAAATAAAATTTAAAGGATAAAATACATTGTACATAAAAAAAAAACCAACAACAAAAAAGTTGGTCGGTCAACTAGCAGCTGATAATGATAAATTTGTCACAGATTTTGAAAAAAATAATACATTATCTTCTAGGATTCTTTTGGGCATTGCTTCTCTAAAACTGCTGTTTCCACAATGGAGGTTGATTAGGACGTATCTACAGCCAACAATGGGAATCTCTACCAAGGCGCAACTTTCATACTACTGTCTGAAAGCTATCAAAACTTTAGAAATTTTTTTGTTTTTGTTTTGTGTGTGTAAATTTCCCACTGCAGGAATCGAACCATGGTAAACGTCAACTACTGCAATGTGCGACCACTTCACTAACCTGTAAGCCACACAGGGCATTTACAAGGTTTCATTTAAAATGACAAAAAAAAAAAAAAAAACATTAGCATTTAAAGAGTTTCTCATGGCTAGAATTGACAAGTGGCATAACTTAAGAAGATTCCAATAATATGGTTAAGGGTACCAATTATGAGAGTCACCCCATCTCGCTCACCCGCGCAAGATTTCGTGCCACCTGCTATTCATGTTGTTCTAGTTCCGGTGGGCTGTCCTATGTTGTTGGGGGAAGGGGGGGGGAGGGAGGTGGGGAGAAGGTGGGGGAGTTGTTACGACCTGCTTTGCTTTGCTTTTCTGTTAATGTTTTTTTTGGTACTATTACAGACGGCGGTGGCTGTCATCACTGGTGGATCTGCCTGAAACGGTCTAGATGAGGAACACATGACACCCTTAGATTATAAACGTGTCCTGGGAAATCCTTTACAAAATCTATCAAGCAGTCGCCCCCTCGTGAGATGCAATTTTTTTTTTTTACTTCCTGAAGCCCTGGTCATAATAAATAACTCCAATCAACGTTGCCTACTGACGGAAAGTGGGCTTATCTTTTTTAAAAAATCTGATGAAAACACTATATTTAAATATATCACAGATACTGCAACAATAACAAAAAACAAACTAACCTAGTTATAGGAGTCTTTCAATTATTCACTAAAAATCCAAAAAACTTTTACATCAACAATAAAGAAAAGCTGAGTGAAAAAGTTTTAAAATGAATATTTTCAGTTTTTATATTGTATGTGGTTTATTCTGTCTTGTTATCACCCTGCATTCTACCACACCTTGATTGATAACTAGTCTCAAGATTAAGTAGTTGGTTTTAGCTGTAACTAGGCTGCAATATATTTTATTTATGGGTTGTCAAGCATGTCGTAGGCGTATTACTGTTGTTGGCATATGTTGTTTGTGCCCCTGTGGGTACAACTCTCTACTGCTACATTGTAGTCTGATATACAAGTGGTCAAGCATGTCATAGCATAATTGAAATAACTACATTTAAACCCAAGACCTAGTCACTTAACTCATTCTTCTTCTTTTTCATTCACCCTCAAAACGTGCTGTTGTCACACTATGTTGTGGTCTATAGCTAAGCTGCAAAGCCTTTCGACCCATCACATTAAATACACACCCCCTGACCCCCAATTGCTTGTTCTGGGCAGGAAGATGCAGATAATGTAGCCTAGCTGTAAACCAAAGCACAATGGGCCAACTGACCTTTTGAGGGCAACATCAGAAGATTTCAGAAATCACTGGCAGTCTACTCTACAGACTACTGACTCTGTATAGTTAAGACATTAGGCAGTGGTGTAGTTGTGAGGATGTGAGGAACAAGTCGGACTACCAGACCAAAATGGAAAAAATCTTATCTGACCAATCAAAATCTGTGATCGATTTGAAAGTAATCAACAATAATGACATGGAAGCAAAAATAAAGAAATTAAATCAATTTTAGATAGAGAATGTATCAACAAAGCTACCACTAAAGAGGCTTACCCTGCACAGCTCAGCACTATATGGCTAAATGGTTAGCAGATAAGTTACAACCAGTCCGACAATCGTTTGAGCCAAAAATACTTAGCGACACATTTTAACTGGTAGAGCTATTAAAGAAGATGAATTTAAACAAAAAGTATATTGCATCAACGAATATAGTCTTCCTTTTCACGAATGTTCCCTTGAAATAAATGGTTGAAATCGTCCATGACCGTGTACAGTTGAAGAATCTAAAGTTGGATTTACCTGCTTCAAACACTGAGACACTGTTGTTATTGAGCACATCAAGCACACAGTTCAATTTCCTCAAGCAGTCTTACCGCCAGATTGACGGAGTGGCCATGGGAAGCCCGCAGGGTCCTATTCTGCCAGAAATCTTTATGGCACACTTAGAAGAAAGAAGGTCTTTGGACATTAATAACTTGGTTTGTTACAGATGTTATGCGGATGATATTTTTAACATCGCCACAAACAAACAAGTAGAATTAATATACACACTTAGATGAACTGGGCACACACAAATATCTCACTGTCCCTACAACACAAATGCAATAACGCCTTAGCATTTTTAGATGTCCTGATCAGAGGGAGAGAAGATGGCACTATTCTAAGATCAGCACAAAGGAAAGACACCTGGATGGGCCAGTACATTAATTTTAACAGTTTTGCACCCATCCGGTACAAACATGGCCTAGTGTGAACATGACCGCGCTTGAAAGATTTGCTCCAGTGATACGCTAAAATCAGAACTAGAAACTTGCAAGCAAATGTTATTATCAAATGGATTTCCAGTTGGATTTGTAAAGCGCCACTGCCAGCCTCCTAAACCGACTACAACAGAAACATCAGTCCCCAAACAACAAGTCTACATCCATCTAGCTTTTTGAAGGCATGATGTTAGGAAACGTCTATACGACCGGCTCAAAACAGCAGTCAGAGTCAAACTTTATATGCTGCTTTGCCTATTTTCAGGTTTAAAATAGCCCCCATGCCAACACGCTCAGTGAAACAACCAGTGTCGATGTGCGTCAGGTCAAACTGTATCTAACAGTTTAAATGCAGCTGTGAAGCTGTTTATGTTGGCAAAACTGATCGATGCCTGGAGAAACAAATCGCTGAACATAGCCAGGTATGGGTGGAACAAGTAATGCAAAGTAAAAATCAAAATGAGAACACTGTCGTAAAGACCATCACTCCGCAATAAGACGCCACCTTTTAAAATCTGGACTCAGTGTAACCGAGGACAACATTTTTCAAATTCTTTACACATTCCAATGGCAGAACGCTAAGATTTTCTGAAGCCGCGACGATTCATTATATCTCTGTCCTGAACTTTGTAAACCAAAAGACATGATTCTGACATTGGGGCTGCCCTGGTAGAACAGGCAGGTGTATTTGATAGTTTTTGAATTTATACTTCACTTAAAAAGGATTCACTTTTTTGCTTCACTTATGTAACTGTCACTATAGTATGCACCTGACACGATACAGTGAAATATGCCAGGGAATCAATTGTGCAATCAACTGTTGGTGTCTTCTTTGTTCAAATTTATTAGGAAACCTTGCTTCGATTTTTGATACAGACAATACGGCACCGACTACTGCGAGCTACTTGCTGGTCCACTAGTAGACCAGGAATGATGTGTTGGCCAATGTGGTTTACAGTAACAACTGCACTTAACATAATAAATGCAGTTAACACTGTTTATGAACAAAACAGTTAAATACACTTTTGAAAATGTCATAAAATTGTCCTTTTACAACTGTCTTTTAAAAAAATAAAATTTTATTGATGCCACATAAAATATAATCTAATTCATCATAGAATTCACAAATGAAATTACCAAAAAATATTTCAATATTAAAAAAAGCAAGCAATACAAATTTATGGCCAGTTAGGAAATAACAGAAAATAAACAATTTTATAAATTTATATGGCCCATGAGAAAATAACATTAACATAAATAAATACATTATTTTTATAGCCCAAAAGAAAATAACAGATATTATTCTATAGAAACACAATAGTTTTACGGCCTTTGAGAAATAATATATAAAGTAATTTTGTCATTGATTCTCACTAACTGCATATTTTTTAAATTGATAAATTAACACTAGAAACAACTTCGTTGGGTCAATCATTAGGAAATGGCCTGTCTGATATCTAGAGTCTTTTTGTCTGGGCCAAGCTCAATCAAAACTGGGGGTTTCAGGAGTTTGTTTTTCAACTCTTCCAAGCCCTGTGGTAATAAAGTAAAAATGGTTGCAGTTTAAGGTAGATCAAATAATGCAATATTAGCTGTTCAAAAAAGTATTTGACTTATGGCAGGGAAAATATAATGAACTATCTGGAGGTCTGGGGCTGTTGTTCATCCATCACGAGGGTTAAAGGTTAAAATCTAGAGGATCGACTTCATTGCAACGGGTTTTATCCCAAATAACTTGGTCTCTCTCAGCAGAACTGCTAGCCACCTGCTGAGAGTTCCGCACAAAGCACAAACACCACAGCTCCAGCAACGTTCCCCAGGGATTTCCATAAAAATTGCTTTCGTGAACTGAAGGGTGCAGCCGTGAAACAAACCCATGACCCTTAGAGCGCGAAGCAAACGGCTTGAACTTCACCATGGAGACCCCCTACATCCATCACAAGTGATGATTGTAGTGAAGCAATATGTAGGGTGTATATCGCTTCATAACCAAGTGTTTAAAGGTGACTGATTACGCCTCACTCGTATATGAAAGTTCCCCCCCAAGCTAACCTCCTGGTGACTAATGGGGTTCCCTACCTGGAAGTACTAGGTTAACACAGTTCTCAGTCTTATCAAACTACCTACACAGACAACAGTCTGCAGCCAACCACATCAACAAAACTTCAAAAGTAATTTATTTAATCATGCTTCAGCTTATATATTAGGATGCAACACAGTATGATGATGAAAAGGTGGTGTCATATTAAAGGGAGCACGTAGCCTCGACGTGGCGTGAGTCCACAACATACTCCTTCGGACTACGGTTCCGCTCCTAGGGTCGCCAATAGCTTTCTCATAACTCATAACAGGTATCGCTGACATCTCAACTACTGTCCTGTTTCACTGGTGATCCTAAGTTTTCCTGCGTCGTCACCCAAGACAGCTTCTTCTCCTCCGTCGAGAAGTGTATGAGTTGGTTATGAGAACTGTGTTAACCAGGTAGGGAACCCCATTAGTCACCAGGAGGTTGGCTTGGGGAGAACTTTTTCATATGAGTGAGGCATAATCAGTCACCTTTAGACACTTGGTTAAGAAGCGATATACACCCTACATATCGCTTCACAACATGAGTATGCTGTTGCATGCTAAATTCACTGGGCTGGTTAGAGGCATAAACGCCTACTCGTCGCAAAGCACAGGATGATGATGGTAACACAGACGTGGGCTTGAGATGAGAGACGAGTGAGAAGGTCCTCGAGGAGGACAAAGTTGTGAAAAAAGTGTTTCTGGAGAATCATGACTAACAGTGGTTTGCTAGCACAAAGTTGTGGAAGAGGAGTTTCTGGAGAATCATGACTAACAGTGGTTTGCATGCGCTTAGCGAGAACCATGCTGGGTCCGGAGAGCTGAGCTAAGGGTTGGACATGGGTGTCAATTTCAGTGCCTCTCAGTCAGTCCGATTGTGCGGAGGCATGTTCAGATGCCTGCATTTTTAGTACTAGTTATGTGTATCATTTTAGTTCAGTGAAAGGTTATCTTGTGCATTAGAATTTGGTGTATGAAGTTGAAATGCTCCCGGTGTGGATTTCGTGGAGACGAGGCGTGGAGGGCCCAACATGTTATTTGCCACTTTGATCGACAGAAGTCAGGCGGTGAATTGTGGCGGAACTGCAGAGACGGAATTGTGTTGTGCCTCAATATGATTCTGATTCGACTGTGTGTCGAGAGACTTGCTGCCTGGGGTCGAGTCTCTAATCAGTTATCATGTATAGGTTATGGTGACCCAAAGTGTGGGAACATAACCAACTCATACACTCCTCGACGGAGGAGAAGAAGCTGTCTTGGGTGATCCTACGCTTCTCTGCGTGGTCATGAAGGTTTTAAGTGATGCCTTTAGCGTGTTCTCAAAGCTTTTTGCTTCTGACCTCCATGACAGCATCTACCTTCTTGTATATTTAACTGTAACAGATTATTACTGGGAGCCAATGGTCTGACTAATGGACGAGATAACTGCCCATCAAATCAATCTGTGTCTGCATTAGGACAGTTCTTATGCTGGGAATGCCAGCTCTACCCATTAGGACAATATCCTGGACCCTGTTCTGGGCTACACTATTGCATATATAACATTAACATTTTTGTTCTTGTGGATAGGCAGTAAAAGAACTTAACTCACTGAGTCCCAAACAACCCATCATGTGTGAATCAGCCTTTCTGCTGAAACGCTCTCCTCAGCTCAATATGTTCTCCTACTTCTTGTATTTAGTCAGAACACACTCAAAAAATCTGGTTATCCAATGCTTACTACTACAGTCAGAGTACTTTTTTGAAAATAATGCATTAAAGAATTTTAATCAAGGAAATTTCTTAAACTCTTCTGGTACTATAAAGGTTAAAACCTGAGACAATCTTTAATGGCTTGTTACAAGATGATGGTTTACAAACCAAATTAATTAAAAGATGATTAATAGGTAAATACTGAATACACAAACATGGCCATTACCTCTCCAAAGTAAGAAACCAATGGGGAAATCTCACAGACAATTGTCTCCTCCTCATCCTGGCTTTTCTGACTGTAAAATATTGCAAGCAAATGTAACTTATAGTGTCTTCTGAACACTCTACACAAATGCTCTTTAAGCGACACTAATGGGGCAAACAGCTCCCTAACACTACTGTAAAATTTTTTTAATTTTAAATGGGAGAACTATTTTATTAAACTATCTGAACTATTTTACTGTCATAAAATGGGTACGGTTTATTTTTTTCATCAGCCAACTATTTTACTATCTTTCAGTCAACTATTTTACTGTATTTATGCAGTCAACTATTTTACTGTCTTTAATGAGTCAACTATTTTACTGTATTTAAAAGCATCAATTATATTACTGTCATTAATCAGTCAACCAGTTTGCTGTCATAATGTTAGTGTTCTTAACATTCTGGTAAAAATGAGCAAACTGATTTGATGGAGTTACTTTAACCATCATAAACATCATGTGCCATGATGATAGCAGGGAGAGTCATGGACTACCAACTCATAGAATCACCCAGGGAGACAGAAGTAATCAAGATTTCTGCCCTGGATTCCAAATGGTGCAAGTTTGTTTTCTGTCTGCATTTGTTGATTCTTCTTCTTAGCGTTCACCGGCTGTAAACTCCGGCGGAAAGCTCTGGCTGTTCGTCCACTTCTAGACTTGTGTCTTGGTCCAGAACTTGAGTTTTAAGTATACATCCATGTGACAGATCTTATTTGTATGCAGACTGTTGGTCCCTTGCCTCTCAGGCTAATGAACTCTACTTCAAAGGAAACATAGACTCTTAATACATGCTTGTTAGGAAGCAATGGGTCTACAGTTTGTTGTAAACATTTTTTAACCCCTTTAATGCGGCCCCAGAAACCATAGAAGAAGATTACTGGGCTAGCTTTAGCAATGCAGCTCCTGCTCTGCAAGCACCTTAGTGGCCAGCTTCTCTACAGAGAGAGACTTCACCTTTTGGGATAAGGCAACGATAAAGGTGAGAGGATGGACTTCACTGTCATGGGTTTTATCCCATATGGTTCAGTCTCTCTCCGCAGAACAGATAACTGCCTGATGGGAGCGTCGCACACAGCTCCACCTCCAGGGATGTCAGTAAAAATGGCATGTGTGAACTGAATGGAGGCAAATGGCTTGACCCCTTCGCCAATGAGAACCCAACTAGAAGAGACCTTGGTGCAGTGAAGTTGATGCCCACCCCTGTGACCACATGATCCACAGAGTCTCAGATCAGGTCTGTATATTTCAACCTTACAAGTGGTTTAAATTCATAAATACAAACACAAAAAATGACACCTCTTGTGTGGGGTCTGGGGTCTTTTGGGGGTGGAGGCTGGGAGGGGTGGGGGAGGAGGACATACCCCTTGTCCCTTAACAATGACTGGCACCTTTCCGTCTTTCCAGATGATAATGTTACCCTGCACTATGAGAATGCATGGGACTCACAGCCCATGGCGACGCGAGTGTGACTAGAAAAACCTGCCCGTGTTAAGAAATGACTTCCACAATTATCACCTAGGATTTCAGAACCGTTGTTGTCAACATTTAGTCTTTTTCTTCTCAGATGCTCAGCTCTCATCCTTTGTGCAATCATTTCTTCCTTTTTTCTCACTCCCTTCCTAATTTGCCTCGTCCACACAACACGGTGCATGATATTTTATTCCCATGAGTCCACCTCAATATCTGTTATCATTCATATCCCTTAAACAAGGTTGTCGTAAAAGGTGACTAATTAATGGTTTACTAAAATCTGATGTACTGGGCTGAAATGTGCAGATATTGCAGCCTAGCTGTAACTAACATAATGTACCCACACCATTTTAAGGGTAAATGCAGAAGAGAAAGAATTTCATATGGCACATGTTCCGCAGGTCGTGAAAGATTTGAAAAAAAAAAATTGCCTTCTTTTTAACCCAGTTGCCCTGAGAAGCTGCAAAACCAACACTTCCGGTCGGGCTGAATTCCCCACAAATGACACTTTTCCTACTTGTGTTTAGTGATCTGTTTATGAAACGCATGGTGAATGCTACTGGATATTTTTGCGAGCACAAATGTTTAGGAGCTCAAGACATAATTAGTCTTCATTAGTTTGCCATTGTTTTCAGAATGGTCGGCTCTCAATACAACTTTCTAAGCCAATGCGAGGCCGTCTGCTGCCAAATCACCTACAGCTGGGATCCAACATGGCACCCAGGCATTACAAAGGGCATTCACAACTCCTAATCCATAGACAACATTAATGCATTAACTAAAAATAGCACTGGGGGGGGGGGGGGGGGGTTCTTCAAAGCAAATGGTTTTTTTAAAAAAGCCCATTTGATATCAAATTTCTTGTAAGCCTCAGTGATAGAGTTCACCGGTTGAGTAACCTGATACACATGTTTTCAAGGATCTGGCGAATGTATTCCATTTAATGCTGTGCCCTGTTTGCATGTATTGATTACTTTTTTCATATATCTTTATGTATTCTGAATGTTTAAAAATTTAAAAAAATTAGATTAATAAATTGTCAACAAATTTATTAGTGACCTGTGTAAAATTGTTTTTTGAAGATTTTTTCTGGAAATCCAACAGGGTCATGACCTATTTTTTGCTGTTTTTTTCTTTTTAGCTTTCCTGGGGCGATGGGTTAAAGATAACTTTCAGGGTTATTTTTGGAGCTGCACAGTCTGTGTTTTATGCAACACTCTCTTGGGTGGCCAGCCCTTCACTGGGAAAGACCAAACCATATGGGATACAACCCAGTACCAGGAAGTTGATATTCTCACATTCAAACGCTTTTATTTAAAGATAAAATCAACTGAAGCAAAAACTTACCAGGAATCACCATTCTGTTCATTGTTATTATTTCTGCAGAATCAACAAATCAAAGCTACAGAACAAGCACATGCAACAAACACATGCATTAGAATCACAATCCATGCACAGGAAACACAGGGGAGTCGAAAAACATAACACAAAACAGGGGTCTAACTAAAGCAATCATGGTGAATATAAACAACCACACAGAGATAATATACCCAATCTTCTCAAGATTGATCTACATGGTGGAGATTTCATCATTATATTTTGGTCCTTATACCGGGTCTCCTCCACTTACAAGCGAGTTCCATTCTGACTAACAAGTCATATGTCAAACTGGTCTTAAGTCAAATTTATATTTTTCAACACTATTTTCATTCAAACGGATTATAAAAACTGTGCCTAAAACACAAAAATTCAATCTGTGCACATATAAATATTTTACATAATGTGAAAAATACTTATGTTCTCTAGTGAATCATTTCCCAGAACGTTTTGACTCAATAAATGTAGTTATCTATCTTTTATTTTTATTTATTTATTTTATGTGGCCATAAGTGTGGATGTCATTAGTAGAGAGAGAGGTCATAAGTCGAGAAGTTGTTTTGTTTAATTCAATCTGGATGAATTAATGTCTTCTACACACCTGTTGTTGTTTTTTTTGCACTGTAAGTTATTTTTTGTAGCTAAAAGAGTTATATCAGTGTCTTTTTGCAGTATCTATTCTGTGATTTCTAACTGTATTCTTGAAAAGCTGACCAGATCACTTTTTATTTTATTCTTGTCTCGTACTATGCTCAATATGTCTCATAATGCCAGTGAAGCGCAAACTGGTAGAATTTTTAAGAATCAACTGTTCATTCTTCTTCCAGACAACAGAAAAGTTTCTTGTGGAAATGCTGTTACTAAAATTGGGCTTTCTACGAACCAATGTGTAGCCTGGACTAATGCTTTTTGTTTCTCCCAAGTTGATTGCAGAATTTTGAATTAGGAATTGACATCACAGCACTCATGACATTCCCATAAGTGCTCCATTCTCATCTTCAGCAGCAGAATTCCAATTCCAATAGAACTAGTAACACTCTGACTGCATATTCATCTTATCTTTCTCTCGAGTGTTGAGCGTCAGCCAGATCTGCTGGACACTCCTCACAGCACTAATATCTCCAGACCGTGATGATCTGTTTGGGCCTCTGCACTGTTAACTCACTCCGAAAGGACCCTTACAACATCTAGCTTGTCATGCAGCCTCAATTCACCACCAAGTGGTGCAGAACCAGCCAATCTATCTGCCTGTTCATTTCCCAACAGAGCAGCATACATAACCTTTTAGCTCAAATGTGACATCCATACTGTATTTCACATTGACCAACATTTTTGTCCTCTGTGAATAGATGGATCCACGACTATGCCTGATGGGCGTTTCTCCCAGCTGCTGTGTTATGTTTATTATAGCTGCTGGTAATGACCACCAGTCTTCACTGCCATGCTCCACCATTACAACAGGCTGGTGTTGTGAGATATTGAGCACGCTGCTGCAGTCTGCAGGAGCAAGTTTCAGACTTGTGTAGGGTTCTTATCACTTTCGGTTGTCAGTGCAGGGACTGGCCAGCTGGTGCTGCAGAATCAGAAGTTCAACAACTGATTGTCTATTTCAGCCCAGGTGATGTGAATTTCATATTTCTATACAGATGGCTCTGTGTTGAGGGGCAGATGACAAGCCTGGCATATGACATCACAACGTCTAGTTTGAGAATGGAGATTGAGGCATTTACTGCTGCTTTCTGCTGGCTTGAGAATCAGCTGTACACTCATGCTGTGACTGTAACTGATTCACAGAGCATGTTGAGAAAGGTGGAGACAGGCATGCTCCATGCAGAGTGGCAAGCATCTCTTCAGAGGTCCCGGGTAGTTAGCATCCTTTTGATTTTTTTTCCAGGTTATACCAGTGTGTTGGGAAATGAGCAGGCAGACAGGCGGGTTCTGTGCCACTTGGTGGTGAACTGATGTATGACACGCTAGATGTTGTGAGGGCCCTTTGGGAGTGAGTAAACAGAGCGGAGGCACACACAGACCATTAAGGTCAGAGGAGAAAGGTGCTGTGAGGAGTTACCAGGGGATCTGGTCGACGCTCAACACTCAAGGTAAAGGCGAGACGAATGTACAATCAGACAGTTATTAGTACCATCGGAACTGGAACTTTTTGCTTGCTGCTGAAGATGGAGATGGAGCACTTGTGGGAGTGCTATGATGTTAATTCTTAATTCAACATTCAACATTAAGTTTGCAGGATTAAAAAATCAAGGATGAGAATCCTAAATGTACAAATCCCAGTATAGCCCATTCAACCATAAGGATATGGCACAAGTTACAGATATATGGAGGCACGGCAGCATAGTAGCTGGATGCTTGTTGCCAGCCAGGAGATCTTGAGTTCGAATCTGCACTTCCCTGTATGGGTTCTGAGGCCCTCTTGGGGAAGGCCATCGACAGACCCAATGCCCTAACAAGTATGATGTAAAAGTAAGTGTGTCTGCCTGAGAGGTGAGGAATCAACAGTCTGCACACAAATAAACTAGATCTGTAAAACAGATATGCATAAAAAACTAAAGGTCTGGAACAAGACCAAAGTTCAGAAGTAGACAAACAGGCAGAACTTTCTGCCAGAGTTTACAGCTGGTGAATGTGAAGAAGAAAAAGAAGTAAGGATATGCCTGCTCCTGTGTGTGTGCGAGGAAATATACACACATAAACAGACATTTAAACACTTGCACAACAAGCAGTTGAAAAAAAATGTCACATAGGCATTCAGTACATGCTGTTAACAAATGAATAGAAGAACAAAATGAAAATTACAACAGTGATTTAGGGTTCAGAAACAGCTCAAAGGATGGAAAATAAAAACAGAAAACAAGGTAATAATCATATTTACCTCTGTATGTCCGAGTAGAGAGAGCCGTCTGAATGAACAAATCTCCCACCGGCTGCCAGCACGAAACGATGGTGCAGGCTTAACAGATCGTTTCGACACGTTGTGGGTGTGTCTTTGGGTTGTCCGTCTGCATTCTTCAAGGGGGAGAACTCTTCTTCTCTCAGAACCTCCCAGACTCCAAAGTTCCTGGCACATTTTAAAACAAACAAACAAACACAAACAAAACCAGCCATACAGACATAGGGATGTGATGCAGCACAGAAACGAGTGTTGTTGGTGAAAGAAGAGGCGAAAGTATTGCGGGAAAAATGAAGTAAGAAAAATGCATTGCAAGTGGGTGATGATAATTAAGCATTCAAATTTATAATTGCACAATGATGAAATATAATATTTGGTTTCCAATATGAAATAATCAAAAAGCATTGTTTTTCAAACAGTTAGGTATTTGCAGTTATTAAAAACAGGATAATATTTCATATTTAAGCAGTTGTTAAATAAAATTTAATTTGATTTAGAAAAATGTATATGTATATTGAAACAAATGTTTCAAAATTACAAAGCCAATCCCACATTTAAGGCAAGTTAGAAAAGCAAAATTTGAAGCAAGATCATGCAATTAGCAGCGGGTTATGGGTTAAAACAAATCCAGTTCCATACAAAGCACAAACATTTATGAACAAAACAAGACAAAAGAAAAAAGAGAAATAAAAAGATCTTATTAGTAATTACTGCCACCACCATTCTTAATAAAAACAAGATATTCCTAAAAAAAAAAAAACCCGCACACATACACACAAAGCTCATATTCTTTTTCTTTTACCCGTTGTACCTCAGTGCAACACAGGTCTTCAAGCAAAGCATGCCAAGTCTTTGCTATCGTATGCCCCATGTCCTCTCCATCTTCACACTCTAGTTCCCTTCTCTGTGTATTTTGGGCTGCCTTTATTTCTCAACCAGAAGTATTTAGCATTTCTTCTGCTGATATCCTCCCATGCCGTGCCAAGAGGCTTTCAAGAATCTTTTTGTGCTGTGTCTCCTTCAACCCTCTTTCCACAGATTGGTTTAGCCATGCGCTAGTTTCTTTCTTCTCATAACATTTTCCTCTTTTTTGGTTCAGGGTATTCTTAAAGGCGCCGCTGAGACTGCCTTGGTCATATATAAGTATTACGAAATAATAATAATAATAAAAAGCAAAATATATCAGGGAAATAGTATAAATATGAAATTTAGACTTGCTCACAGTAAAAATAAATACTGCAATAAGTTGCAAATATACTTTGGTATAAACAGACAATGTATATTTTAATTATGGTGAAAATATAGGGGTGACTGCAGTCAAGCTAATACAAGGAATTCCAGGAAAATTTGACTTAAAAGCTATGACCAAATGAGGAAGCCGAAAAACGTGCAAAAAACAACACAAAATAACATAATGATATTTGTTGTTTTGTGCACGTTTTCTGCTTCCCCATCTGGTCATAGCTTTTTAGTCAAATTTTCCTGGAATTCCTTATATTTTAATTAACGCGTCAAAGACTTATTTTTTTCATAAAATTTGTCTATCTCTGAGAAACAGGGTGTCCAGTCAAAAGCTAAACAAATAATGGAGACAAACATTAGTTTTTTTGTTAATTATAAATATCCAAAGAAGGTCAAAATAAAAAAGAAGTGGCTGCTTTAAACAAAAAAAAAAAAAAAAAAAAACCACATCTTTAGAAATATACACATGAATATGAGAAATCTATATTAACTGGAACAGCTATAGAAGACAGAAAATGAATACAAATCTTTAGGAGCAGAATAAGATCAACAGATTTAGCAGCAGGAAAAAAAAAACCAGTAACAGCTATATCAATTGATATAAGGACATAAAACAGATTAAATATAACAAGCATAAGAACAGAAGAAAAAGGTAACAAAGCTAAAAAAAAAAAAAAACAATTATCAGACCAAAGATAGGAACAGAAAAAAAAAAGGTTTCTGAACATACGATAGAAAAATTGAGTTAGACAAATACAGAGAAAGTCAAGACAACAGGCAGATTACTAGAACAATACTTTAACCCTGTTAAACTGAGAGTACTTTAACCCTGTTAAACTGAGAGTCCTATTTCAAGCATTGTGTGTTTTTTTTTTTAATGACATGACATCTTTGGACTACCAACAGATTTGGTACTGGCTGCAGCAGTGCATTGTGTTGATGTGGTGGGTATGATTATATCTACTAAAAAAAAAAAAATAACTTTAGATATTATATGGGGTGACCCCCCCCCCCCCCCAATTTTTTTTTTTCATTGTGATGTCACTGTACTCCATGTGGCTTGGTCTTAAAAAAAAAACTAACTTTTCATAGTCAAAGGGAAAGAACACAGCTAATTATTTGCTCCATTTATATCTGTTGATTACTTAACATAATGTAAAAAAAAAAAAAAAATACCTTTGTCGGAAAAAGTGACTTGAAAAAATCAAATTTTTCAAATTGTTTCTCCTTCCTCTTCTTTTCCTCTAGTTTCTTATGGTAGAGTTTTCAGAGAGTTATAATGATGGTTCTCTTTTTAAAGAAATTTTAAGGGGGGAAAGTCTTGTTTTTAAAAATATTCTTAAGCGACTAAAGGGTTAATCTGCTCATGGAACAAAACAGATAAATATTTTAACAGAAAGTACACATGGGATACAAGTGAGAACCATCACTTAATTAGTAAAGAGAGAGAGATGAGGGTAATCTTGGTAATAAATAAATTTGACAGGAAGAATCAATGCTCTAAGAACAGAACATAACATAAACAACCAGCACCAACATTTATTTACATCAAGCTCTAAGTACATCAGTTCCTAAACTTCTAGGGCATACAATTGTTGCCTTCATTGCCTTAGTTCCCATTTCTTCTTCTTCTTCTTCAGCATTCCGAGCCCTTGAGGTTCATTGCTGCAGATATCACCTGCCTCCATTCATCTCTCTGGTTGGCCTTCTCTTTTCAGTTGGTGACACCAAGTGTATGCAGGTCTGTCTGAACATTATCTCTTCATCATCTTCTTGGTCTGCCTCATGGTCTACGAGCATTCATGTCCCTTGTGCATACAGTTCCCATTTACTAAATAAAAATTCAGCTCATCTTCAATAACCCCTGTAGGTTACCCTCAATGGGCTTAAGGAGGCTGGTGTGATAAAAAGGGAAACAGTTATGTTTTTCGATGGGCCTGAAGGTTGAAAAGCACAAATTAGTAGCCAGTGGATGACCTGTAGGACACCCAAGCCAAACCCACCTCCAAGCAGTGCACACAGGAAAAATGAGGCCGCAAGGTCTCAGGCTAATGGGGCTCTCGCTCGGCAGGTGGGATGTGATCCATCTGGTTAAATACTCCCTCAAACTGCGATAGGTCTAGCAAGATAGTAATGAATTAAATCTTGCTCGAAGAAACAATAAGAAGAGAAATCAGACTGATATATACTGTGTCCGTAAAGTTATGGTGCACTTTTGACCGGTCACAGGAAAGCATCAAAAGAAGATAGAAATGTGAAATCTGCACCAAATTAAAGAAAACTCTCCAAGTTTCGCAGTATGATGTGCAAGCGTGTGCGCACACAGGTGATGACTCAACACCATGAACTGCACTGAATGGGTATGACATTTGGAGAGTTTTCCTGTCATTTGATGAAGATTTCTGCCCGTGTGTCACCGGGGCCCTCACAGGAAGCAAAGAATAGTGACACTGCACCCTACCAGGATGTCATGTTGGGCTTGAGGTTGGCTATCTCATCCTGTATAAACAATAGCCACAAAAACCAACCAACCATGGATAATTCAAAAAAGAGAAAGCAAGTAAAACCCAGCCAACCAAGATGAGGGAAGGTTCTTCAAGTAGAAGTATGACACGATGTGGAGAAAGCCGAAAGAAGTCCAGATCGTCGACATAGCTCCTCTCACCTAGGAAAACCTCCAGAATTGGCACCTGGAATGTTAGAATAAAGGAAAGCCCAAAAAACAGGGATAAGGGAGCTGGAGAAGGACATGGGAGGAGCTGCATGCGATAGCATAGGACAGAAGGACTTGGCGTTAGTTGGTTGAGGGCCTATGCTCCATTGGGGGCTAGAAAGGCAGATGAAGATCTTTGATTTCCTGTGATCGGTCAAAAGTGCACCATGACTTTACGGAGACACGATATATCCCTGACAGCAGATATAAGAGCAGTTAATTAATTCTATATTAAAGCAACTGGTCATATGTTCGTCATTTAATGGTGTCCGAACAACTAAGAGGTAAAATGTCTGCTTCTAGAGTGAAGCTTCTGACTAGCAGTAAGGTAGGAGGGTACACTAACCATTATGCTACCACAGTATGATGCAGACTGAATCAAGAGAATATAAATCTTTAGTCAGTAACTGTTATACTTATGATTAGTGCTTTCATGCAGAATGTGTGAAGTAATTTTCACACTGTAAACATCATGCTCTACCTACATGAATATGTACCACCACCCTATTTGTATTTGTTTTTATAAGCTTTTATTAAGTTCGGTTTTGTTTGTTAAATATTTTAATAAACGCATGTACATGAAACATTTGTAATGATTTTTCATTTATATCACTGTCTCATTTCAAGCTCCTACAGCAGCACAGAGTCATCACTTCTGTTGCTGACCAAAAAAGAAAGTGTCCATTATGATGTCCAAGTTATAGAACAACATCAAATGGTTGTGGAGAGAGACAGGACTTTTATTTTATAACCAATAAAAAGATGACAATTGCAGAGAGAAAAAGTGCCACACAGAACCTGTGTTGTTTTATGAATGTAAGACATGGACAAGCTGAAAAAAACATTTACTTGTAGCAGAGATGTAGTTTTTGAGAAGAATACAAAGAATAACATGAAGGGATAGAAAAACAAATCAAACAGTCCTCCTGAACACACATAGGAACCTTAACAGATCAGAGAAATTAGATGCAGATGGTCGATATTTTTTGCGACATGTTATGAGAAGCAATGACCTTGACAAATAGGTAATGACTGGCAGAGGGAAAGGTCAAAGGCAAGAGACCAAGGGGTGGGCAATGATGCAAGTGGGAGGAGATGGATAGGCAGCAGTCAGAGAGAGTGCACCACAGGACATGAGACAGAGCTTGTTGGAGACCCATTGGAGCCAACCCTCCCTGTGGAGACGGCACCTGACTGATTGAAAGACTGGCAAGACTTGTGGAAAAAAGAGCAAGGGGAAGGCAACAAAATAAATACCTGCACAGCTTAGCCATATGGATGGGGCGATGGTGTGAGACGTCAAAACATAACAGCCTATGTTTGTCAATACTACACATGAAGATGATGGCTCTGAAGCCAGTGCAGCCTAGTACTAATGGGTAGCAGAAAATTTTCAGATTTTTGTGGGGAAATGCCTGCAAAGGAAAGGCAATAAGGAAGAACACTATCTCACCTTATATGTTATGGCCTAGAATGTATAGAAGCCTAATATTTCACACAGCAATGGCAGTTGTTGCTATGACACTAGGGTTTTTGTCCTCACAATTAGGGGTACTGAGATCTAAGTATCGCTTCTCTCAATACTCAGAAGATAACAAAGTCAAAGCCTGTGGTCCCTAATTCGCTAAGATTTGCCGACCCCTTTCATTTTCAAAGGTCATCCGTGGACCCCACACTTTTTTTTTATTAGTCACAATGAAGAAATTATTTAATTTATAAATACAGACTATCTGATATTTTCTTCTTCTTCTGCGTTCACCTGCTGTGAGCTCTGGTGGGAAGTCATGGCTGTTCGTCCATATGGACTTTGCCTTTTTACCAGGGCCTGAGTTTTGTGTGTTTTACTGGCTTATTTGTGTACAGTTGGTTGTTCCTTGCTGTTTGTCCAGATGCACTCAGACTTTGAAGGAAGCTCCAAATTAGTCAACTCCTATGACATGCTTGATGAGGAGGTAGTGGGTCTATTCTTGTTCTCCCCCCCTCCCCCCCCTCCCCCACAATGGGACCCGGAACCCACACAGAAAGAACCTGTTCCATGACTGAGCTGTTAATGTAAATGATTTTAATTCACTCTAACTCTCACTCTAATACTTTCCGATCATGATGCTATATCCCAACATTATCAAGTGCCTTAGCGACTGGCTCAAGTCCTTCTTCAGCAATGTTAACATGATCTAATCCATTTAAAAATTATCTAGACCCTGTCGGCTAACGCCAAGATTCTCGTCTTTAAATTGGTTCTGCAGACCAACAGATGGGAAAGACTAATCTAGGCAGTCAATCCACCTAGGAAACTATCAAATTAAGAGGGACAGAATAAAGAAGGGCAAATAAACTGACAAACTACTCTTGAGACCATGTTTGTGTGGTGTGAACTTACTGTGTAAAATGGAAAACATCAAAAACAAATTTTTCCATCTTAAAGCCATTCGGGGCTGATGGTTTCTGCAGATGCCCAGTGGAGTCAATAAACGGAATCTTCTTTTTTGCCACATGGTGCTTCAGTTGGGATTCATTCTTCTTTCTGAAACAGTCAATATTTTATATTACTGCATCAGCTAAAATGTAAATATGTTTATACTCTTAAGCTAGTTGTGTATCCTGAAAAATATCAACACTGAATCAGACACTTGTGACAGATCAACTGCAGATAACTTCTCCGGTAGAGGAGATGTGTGAGAGAAAAACCAGCCTCAGAACAAAAGTGTATCAACAATTTAATGTGGACTATGTGACAAAGACTGCTACTGAAATTTAGTCACAGCAGACCCTGTTCCCAAAAACTGCGGCATAACTTCATTGTCCCCAGGGACTGAGGGTTACCTACAGTTGTGTATCCTTTACAGCAGCGGCCCCAACCTTTATCGAGCTCTGACCCCATTTTAGAGCTAAAGTGACTAGAGATCTCGTAACTTAAAATAAACTTTTTCAATAGGATAAATTAAAATCACATTTAAAATACATTATTCAATACAGTACAATACAGTTCAAAATAATATTAAAACTGTGCAGGATGTGACAACATGGTTTTGTTTCCTTAAAAAAACATTCATAGCTCAACACTGCCTGTGACCCTCTAGAAAACCCTTTGTGACCCTATGTGGAGTCACAACCCATGAGTTGGGATCCTGTGCTTTATAGGATGTTGCAAAACCAACCCCAGCATTTGCATGGGCTGTCTGGTTTTACTAGGCACTTTTATGTTCAGTAATTTGCTACTGATTTCTGAATGGTCAGTGCTCCCAACCACTGTTGAAATCAATGCACAGCAGTCTGCTGCCAAATCACGTTCAGCTGGAATCAAACAAGGTAATTCAAAATTAGGAAGTGCATTTGCAACACCTCAGCCACAGATACTGACTCTATTTATACTCTTAATACAGCCACCCCCCTCCCCAAAGACTTAACTCCTGCAGGGATCAATGTTTTTATTAGTCGTTAATCTTGGTTGCAACTCACTGCAGATGGGTTGCCCTTGGAAATAAAAACAAAATGTCTTTCACAGTCCCATTTTAAAACTAGGGAAAAACATGTCAGTTCCAGCAGAATCTTCGAGTTCACACAGCAAAGTAAATGTACAAGGCAGCCATCAGAAATGCCAACACTAACAACCCAACAACATAATTTTAGCTTACTGTTTATGCAAAAAGTCAGTTATGAAAGCCGACATAGTGCAGGCAATACTGCCTAAGTACATGTCATTCTGAATGTAATCAGCCATCTGCCATTTTAGTGCAGAAAAAAGCCACTGCAGGCATAAAAGAAAAATATTCCACATGAAATTCACAGCTCACTGTTGCATCACTGAAGCACTCAACTCAGCAGCTAGGCGACAAAAACTTTGGACTCCCCATCTAGAAATGGGAAATTTACATATGCTAAAAACAAATACTTTCAGAGTGTTAGTGGTCAACTGATTATCGCCAATTTGGTCCAGAAATCCTGATCAGTGTTCAGCATACCTATTCAAACTTCTAATTTTTATGTTTTTTTTTTGTCCACTGATAAAGACTGGTCAAAGCTTTTAATTGTATCTGTGCACATCTAATCTCTTTGCCTGCATCGTGTAGTGGCTAGACATTCATCTGCGGATCAGAAGGCCATCACTTACGTACTGGACACTGCAGACTCAATAAACACTTATATAAATTAGGTATGAGCCAAACAGCTCTCTGCCAGTGCCTTCGTGCTGAACAGACTCCAGAACATGTCCTGCAAGACTGTCCTCTCCTGGCGGAGCTGGGGAGCAACATATGGCAACACCCAGTAGAACAACTAAGCTTTGGGGAAACCTAAGAGACCTTGAAAAGACATCCCAGTTGATTATGCGCATGAACAGAGATCGCTGAAGAAGAAGAAGGCCATGAGTTCTGGTCCTGATGGAGCCTGCCTTTTTTCAAAAATGACCTTGGGTTCCAGGTCGACAAAGCCTTAAATGGGTACAAGGTACATTCCAGGGAAGTAAAGGGTCCTTCACTTAACTTACATCTATTTCTTTACTTCTATTGAGCTTTCCAGTCAGTTTGTTTTGTGCTTAGTAACTTCCTGATAGCAGCATAACCTAAGTAACTTATTTACATCACACAGCTGTAATGGGATCGAAAAAGGCAAAACAACTAGGACATGGCTGACGGAAGTAATTAAAACTGTTAAGGATATAATTTGTTAAAAAAAAGTGCAACAAATACAATGATACAACAAGTGTTAAAACTTCAGACCTACTGGCAGACAAACTTGAGGAAGTCTAATGTAAAGAAATGATTGCAAATATTTCCAGCATTAAACATCAGTCTTCCATCTGGTGTCCTCTTCTCTGCTGTCTTTAAAGTGATCTCACTGTACTCCACAACCTGGTATTTGCCGTTGACTTTACAAACAATCCCCACTGCTTCTTTTGGTACCGTCTTTTCCACCACCTGTTCAGTAGGAGTGAGCCATGAGTTAACATTTTTCATATATCACAAGAACAAAATATATTGAAAACTAACAAACATGGTACACGTAACGTTAATCTCCCCAGGCCCCACCGACATGAAAAAAAAGTAAAGGACCCTTTTCCACGCCATTAGGTGTATGGGGCATACAGGGCTAGACCTATATTTTTATAGACTAATCGGCACAAGATGGGTGATGTGGTCAACATCACGCCGGCCACCTTTACTTTCCCAGTCCCGCCCATATACACACTTCAAAATTTCTGATTGGTAGTTCCTAAACTTGTCACCTCGGTGCAAGGTTACGGGGGTGTCTGCTATGCTGTTGATATTGTGTATTGTATATTTCAGCATGCCAATGCTTTTAACACTCCATAAACACGGAGAAACTGAGCCCTAACACCCCCCACGCCCCTTAAAGAGTGCTGCAACCTATGTCACAGGCAATCTCTTTCTCGGAATGAAAATATAAATGCAAAACACCTAAGAAAGCAAACAATAAAGCGGAACACACCTGTAACCTTCAGGAAAGTGGACCAGCCCAACAAACTTGTGAATGAAAAGTGACTATCACTCAGAATAATACAACTCGCACCCGATGCCTCTTCAAGACCTGAGGCTGAAGGCAGAAAAGGACCAGAGAAGAGAAAGATAAATAAATTAATTAATTAACCATTATGTAAGAGAGACAAATATTTTAAAGGTGTAAATGGGAGGTTTCTACTTCATTCAGAAATAAATTATCATTCTTAATTTAAAAAAAAAAATTGTGAAGTCAGAATTAAAAGATATAAAAATGAAACTCACCTTAGCTCCACATTCAACACCTTTGCTGAGACAGAATCCGATAAAAACAGGGTCTGCCATTTTTACTAGAATGTTGTCTACACAGTAGACATGGACATATTTGACCCCCCGGGCAGTGAGGTCATCAAGCACTCCTTGATCTCGCAAAGCATTGTACAACCCACCATTACCAGCTGTGGAAAACAGCAACAACAGGCATGTAATGATACAAGTTTCTCATGTGGTTATTTATATAGGAAAGTTACAAGTTAAATTAAATTCAAGAGGATTACAAGAAATATGAAGGGCATTCGGAAAATGATACCCCAGATTTGTTTTTTCACAAACTGTTTGTGCAAAATGTATGCAGTTCACTAACTCATTTAGTTTTTTAGGCAATTTAATTTTCTATAGATTTTCTAACCACTTCGATGATCTTAAGCTAATAGGAAAGGAGGGCTTGTATTTCTGGCCTGTAATCTCTGACACAGATACAATGGAAAAATTATGACCCCAACGTGGCTTTAAAAAAGCTATCTGGTTCACAAGAGGTGGCCCTCCTCAACAAGTTTTTAATTAATTTATTTATATCCTGACCTGAACGATGTGCAGGTGTGAACACAACCAATATTCGTTGAAAAAAAAATTTATTTATGCACAGAAAAAAATTTATTCTCAACCAGAAATTTTGATTTTGCTGCTTTTCATGGTGAAAGGGTTAACTTTCTGAACCCAGTGACTAAAAGTGCTCGACTGCACAACTTCCATACAAAGCACAAAAACGTTCATGAATGTTCACCAGTTTCTTGTTCTGCAACCAGAAATTCTGTAACAATTTAATGTTTGTAACACACCTATTTTAGGCTGGGTCAATATGAAAGTTCAGGAGAATATTGATAAAAAAGCCTTAATGAGGATACGAACCATGATTCTCCGATGGTCAGCATACAAATTAGTGTGCTACTTCACCGAATGGGTGCCAGGCTCCATTTTGGAGAATAAAAAACAGACACTCCCATCCCCACAACAAGCATGTCACAGGAGGGGACTAATAAGGGATGTTTCCTTCAAAGTCAGAGTGCATCTGCCTGATAGTCAACAAGGAACCAACAGTCTGCATATAAATAAGCCAATCTGTAAAATGAATATGCGGGCAAAACCCGAGTTTTTGATCCAGACCAACTTCTGGGAGTGGACGAACAACCTAAACCTTCTGCTGCAGTTTACAGTCGATGGATGCTACAAACAAGAAAAAGACTATGCTCCCAAGCATAAATATGCATCTCATAAAGTCACAAATATGTACAAGAATACTACTCACCAGGAGCAAGGGCAACTTTAGACTGAGATTCCAGAATAATTTTGCCATTGAAGTCAAAGCAGGGAAGTAATGTCTGCTCAAACAAAATCACATTCTCCTTATTCAAACCAAAGTGATTGTGCTTCTGAAAAAATGTCTCTGTTGATTCCTTTGTGTGTTCACTTGTCATAATATACCTGCAAAATTCAAACATCAAAGAGGTGTAAAGGTGAAATGTTAAAGTCTAGAGGATCAACTTCACTGCACTGAGTTTTATCCCATATGGCTTTATCTCTCTCTGCCGAATTGCTAGCCACCTGCCAAGTGCACCGCACAGAGCAGAACTCCATAGCTCCGGTGATGATCACCAGGGATCTCTGTAAAAATTGCACTCGTGAACTGAAGGGCACAGCTGTGAAACAAATCCATGACCTTCAGAGCACAAGGCAAACAGCTTGACCACTTCGCCATGGAGATCCCCCAAAATCTGATTCCGATGGAAAGTTCTGGTTGCTCGTCCATTTCTGGACTTTAGCCTTGTTCCAGAACTGGAGTTCTGCATGCACATCTGTTTGACAGATCTGGCTTGTTCGTTTCTCGGCTTTCAGGAACATGCACCACGACTTAGAAGGAAACACTCAGATATGGGAGCTGTGGTATTGCAGTGGCTAGATGCTCGGCCGGCTGGTCTGAAGGTCTTGGGTTCAAATCTGCACCCAGGCTGACTTTTATAAATAGTTTGGGCGTCCAGGCTGACCCAATCAAAAAATGGGTATCAGAAAAAGTCCTGGAAGGTAAAAGTGTGCTTGACCTATTTAATATGGGTCTAAAATCATTTGCTCAATACATCAATGGCAAGAAAAGGGTATTTTTATTATTTAAAAAAAAAAGGATCGTTGAAAATTATTGGATACAATATCTTCTCCTTTTTCATATTCACCGGCTGTAAACTTCTGCAACAGATAGTTCCAGTTATTTGTCCACCTCCGGACTTAAGTCTTGTTTTAAAGATGTTGGTTCCTCTTCTACCAGAGCAAGTTATTATTCTATGCCTTAGAAAAGGTCACAATCGACTTCGCATCCGTATGTAGAAAACAATTTAAAATCAGCGAATCAGCCATGTGCACATGTGGATTGGCACCTGAGACAACAGATCATGTTATCCAAGACTGTCAGAAATAAACATATCAAGGCAAATCTTTTGGCCAAGAGAAACATCGCTGCAAGTCAAACTTTAAGGGCCGCTGAATTACAAAAGACAGTGAAGTTCATACTAGAGACAACACTGCAGATAGAGATAATTTTTTTTTCAAGCCAATGAAAGAAGAAGCAGAAGAAGGTTCCTCTTCTTCTTCTTCATCTTTTTTCTTTTTGTTCTTCAGCATTTCAAGGCCTTGAGGTTCACTGCGGCAGATAGCTCCCACCTCCATTCATCTCTGTGATTTGACTTCTCTTTTCAGTTGGAGACTCCAAGTGTTTGTACCTTTGAATGTATATTATCTCTCCACCATCTCCTGGTCTGCTTTGCGGTCTTCTCCCATTCCAATCTTACTGTGCAAGCAATTTGTATCTGTCTAATGTCTGGCATCCTCTCTATCTGCCCTAGCCATCACAGTCTATTAGCCCTCACGATGGCAGTGATCAGTGGTGATTCAAACAAATTACGAGGGGCTTCAAATTAAAACCTTAAAAGTGTGCTAGAAATTACAATAGCAATACCATTGTCTTGTAATCTGTCAATACTGCTGTTAAGGATGCCAAGAGGCACATGACAGCAATATGCAGATGAACACATGACCTCATAATGACCGTTTGAAGATGGACTCTCAAATTGTGTCATGCACCAAAGAGCAGCAGCATTCTGTTTTTTTTTAAATTAGTGAAGGGGTGAAACCTAGAGAAATTCATAAGTGAATGAAGCTCCACTTTGGTGACGTTTGTCAGTCCAGCAAGTGTATGAGTGGAACAGGAAGGTTCACAATTTAATTTAAAATTATTGCCGAAGGTTTAACGGGAACTCCCTGTGTGGGTCTTGGGAGCCACATTGGGGGTGAGGGGAAGGGGGGGGAGGGGGGGGGACAGATCCACTGCTACTTAGCAGGTAGTTAGGAAAAGGTGACTAATAAAGGCTTGTTGAAATCTGGCATGTTGTATGATGGATTAGAGCCTAGCTGTACACCACAAGAAAATTTGTTAGCAAACTTTCTAATGCGAATGCTGAAGAAGAAGGAGGAGGAGGAGGATGAGGATAATATTAATAATTTAGAAATTAGACTAGAAACATGTACCCAATAAGCTACACAGCAAAGAAATGAGTTTTGAAGAAAAAAACTTATGTTTGTTGTTTGTTTGTTTAAACAGGAAATTGCACATGCATGATCTTTGAGGATTATGAAAGCTGTTCTATAATGAACAACAATCAAAAATAAAAAGTACAATAAAAACTCACCAAGGAACAGCACAAGGTTTGCCTGTCACCCTCTCAGCTAATCTCTCCAGTCGAACAATTCTCTCGGCCTGTAGCTGATACAGTGTCTTGCCTGATGGCAGGCCAACATTGTACATGCCTTTGGGGTAGGGCACTCCGAGTCGAGTGCCTTGACCTCCGGCAAGCAACAACACTGCTACCTCACTATTGCCTACAGCTGACAAACCTAGATCAAGGAAAGAAGTCGTCTTTTAAGGCATCTGTGTAAAAAAAAAATCATATATAAAAAACAAAATATGTATATCACAGAAACAAATGCATCACAGTATCGTCTCAGACACTCAGCTGAGCGTATGATGGGATGCTGTGAGCTGCAGATTTAATTTGGAATGCTTTTCAATTGTGCCTAAAGTCATTTTTGTTGTGAACTCTGTATATTCAGAAAATGTGAGTGACCTGTTGAGAGAGAACTGGTGGTACTATCATCATCACAAACCACTTCCTTCGTTAAGGGAAGTGGGGAGGAAAAATGTGCGATCCAGTGTACGCTGGCTGCCACTGGCTATTGTCATGCCGTAAAGGTGTAGAGTGTCTTTAATGTTGTCGATCCCTCTTTTCCATCTTTTTGCTCTTGTAGCTGATCTTCTGAGATGTAGTGCTTGTGATGGTATTTGATCTTGCTGCATTCTAACGACATGGCCAAACCACTTGATCTCTTGTTTCTCGATGAATCTAGTACAAGGTGTCGTTCCCACAATTTGTCTGATATTATTCACTCGATCTCGAATGGTTAGTTTGGCTGCTTTTCTCAGGCATCTTATCTCGCATGTAGTGAATTTGCGTATATGGGCTTTAGTCCATGTTTGTGATTAACTGCATGTTCTTCTGTAACTTATGTTTCCATCCATGATAAACTGCATTTCTAGTGCTGGGCTATTTGTGTTGGCACCTCTGGTGATTACCTTATGCCTCTGATGCAGGAGCAGATCACACTACCGGATTTGTTGAGATTACAGACTGTCAATTTGTCCACAAAAGGACAGTGGTGTACTTTCTGTCTGGTTTTCTTTGGCAAAGGAGTGGAGCAGCTATGGAGTGACAGTTTGCAGTTGGAACTGTGATTACCTGACCTATTACCTGTTGGAACTGCGATTACCTGACCTATTACCTGTTGGAACTGCGATTACCTGACCTATTACCTGTTGGAACTGCGATTACCTGACCTATTACCCATGTAAAGAAACAAAATTAAAGTTAAAGACCGTTTTTATTCCAGTGGTGCATCTGGTATATGATGCCAAACTAATCTGTATCTTTGTATCTATGATCCCCTTTGTGTGGGTTCCGGAGCCCTATTTTAGGGGGGAAAGAAAAGACTTACTGCTCCTTAGACAAGTGACTTCCTGCGGATTTGCTCAAATGTCAGGTTTAAAGGTGCAGATATCATAAGCTAGCTGTAAACCAACCCTGTTCTTTGGCCACATAATAAGAAGGGAGAACATCGTGACAACTGTAAAGATCAGTGGAAAAAGGGGTAGAAGCAGACCAAGAGAGATGATGCTGGATGGGTTGAAACAATGGCATGGAGGGATATCATCAAGAGAGCTGTTCCAGGCAACCAGGGATTGTGAAAAACACCACCCTGAATCTTTACTCTGACATACCTAGGTTTCTGTACTTGTCTATGAGCTCATTAGTACTTCTTGCCACACTTCCACACACGGCTGGTTCTAGTGGTTCCAGCTGCTCGTCTATCTTCTCATTGTTCTCCTCTAGGGTGGCTTGAGCCTCTTTGAAATACACATTAGCTTCCTGCAATTAGGGAAATAATCATCATAAGTGTAGCAGGAGTGAGGTAATGCCAGAATCATTTGCCTAAACTCCCTGTGTGGGTTCCAGGGCCCTGTAATAGGGAAAACAAGAATACACCCGCTGCCTGCCAAAAAGCATGTTGTAACTAATTGGGAGCTTCCTTCAAAGTCAGAGTGCATCTGCCTGAGAGGCAAGGAACCAGCAGTCTGCATACAAATGAGTCAGGTCTGTAAAACCGATGCACATGCAACACTCAGGTTCTGGAACAGGACTGCAGTCCAGAAGTGGATGAACAACCAGAACTTTCTGCCAGAGTTTACAGCTGGTGAACGCAAAGAAGAACAAGAAGAATTGTCTAAACATTTCTATGATATACATGATAATAAGTAGATTATCTGCAATAAGCTCAATGCCAACGCAGGTAACAAGTCATTAATTTAAGGTTTTTTGAATTAAATTCAATGCCAATATGGATAATAAGCAAATTACTACTACTAATATAAAAGTTATTTTGAGAAAAAAAAATGTGCATATCAAATACCAATATATACTTAGCCACAAGTGATTTGTTTTCCCCATTAAGTTTCATGGCAACACATGTAAGAGGCAGCTATTTTTCTGAACTCTTCTCAATGTCAAATGTGCCCCTGCTTGCCCTGGTAACACTAAGAGAAAATGGAGCATGACCCCCATTGAAAACACAGACAAATCCTTTAAACAAGACAAAATAAAAAAAAAAATAAAAAAAAAAACATTTTACCTAGATCATGAAAAATTATTTTAACTATAAAAAACGAACATTTATTTATCTACATTGTTACATTTGCTTAGAAATGTGTAGGCAACTGTCAGTGTATAGAGACGATGGAGCTGTGCAGCTGGTTATAGAAACATTGTGTGCTATAACTGTTAAGTCCAGCACGAGAGTGAGACTGCCACAATACACAAAAACATAAATACAGTCTCTGCCACAGGGTATACATAAAAACGCATTCTCTAAGATATCACCTCTCTACAGCCTACTGTGTTTGGTTTTTTGAAAAGTGTGACAGTCCATCTTTCACTGGCTGCCTTCATAGGAGTCAGTCTTCAGCTGATCTCTCACAAGTGTCTGTGGCAATGCTGGTATCTTTCAAGTTATCTGCCCATGTCCTTATAACATAGCATTGGCCTTCATACAGATAATTTCCCTGTTTCCAGTTCACCATACAAGAGATCCTTTGAAATGTGACCAGCTTCCATGTGGGAGGCATGTCAGATGCCCCCTTTTCAAAATATATAAAGAATTATGAAGGGAGTTTGTCTTTCCTTTTGGGCGAATGAACTGCATGGAATATCAATTGATAGGATACTGAGTTGGCAAAAGCTGGGAGTAATCTTCCACAACCTCATCCACCACACAGCTACAAGGAAACCAAAACAGCGCTAAAGCAGTCTTTTAAGCGGGAGTGGAGAAAGCAGAATTGAGATTACAGACCAGAGAGTGACAGCATAAACAAACTCAACAGGAAAGAACAAACATCAATTTTTAGACTTCGGACAGGACACTGTCGTCTTCGAGCACACCTGTACAGGATTGGCATAAAAGAATCTGCTGCCTGTGATTGTGGAGCAGAAAGACAGACCCCTGAGCATATACTACAGTACTGCCCTAACCTCTCCCAGCAAAGACTGTGGATCTGGCCCAAGGGAGCCACATTTCAAGAGAAGCTATGGGGGACCGGCAGCGACCTTAAACGCACAATCCTATTTGTGACCCAGACCGGACTCAATGTTTAGCATGACTGATGTCGAACGCAGAAGAAGAAGAAGAAGAAGATAGGATGCTGGTTGAGCGCCTATGCTCCTACACTGGCAGTAGAAGTAGAAGAAGAAGAAAAAGAAGAAGAAGAAGAAGAAGAAAAAGAAGAAGAAGAAGAAAAAAAAAAAAAGAAGAAGAAGAAAAAGAAGAAGAAGAAGAAAAAAAAAAAAGAAGAAGAAGAAGAAGAAGAAGAAGAAGAAGAAATAGAAAAAGGAGAAGAAGAAGAAGATGAAGAAGAAGAAGAAAGAAATAAAGAAGGAGGAGAAGGAGGAGGAGGAAAAGGAGTTTGAGGAGGAGGAGGAGAAGGATGAAGAAGAAGAAGAACTTGGCAGCACCACTGAGGATCCCAAAACTAAATAGTCTTAATTATTTTACTAACTAGAGCATTGCTTTGAACCTCATGGAACTGAAAGGGGTAATACAGCCAAGAGGTGTCATGCTGACTTACTTGCAAATTGACACTTAAAATCTCTGCAGCCAAAGACTTCTGTTGGCTCTCCTCAATCTGGTCCCAGAACTGAAGCAAGTGTCCCTGACCAGCCTCCTCACATTTCTGTCGTAGACTGCTGATATCTATGGTTTTAGTCATCGTTCGTGTGGCTGTATCACTCACTAGTGGTAAACTAGCAGATAAATCTGTTGTGTCTCAAAGATTAAATGAAAGGACAGTTCTGGTTGTATCCTAGCAACTGATTTCTTTCACTCTATGCTTTGCATTTGAATGCAGATTAATTACAATAGCAGTTTATACAGTGAGCAGTGCCTTAAATATTGTCTATTTGAGCAATGGTAGGAAAGCCGGGAATGCCTTTCAGTTGACTATACTGAGATCCTCAGTTTGTGCAAGAACCTGCAATATAAGAAACAAATATTGATTAGTAATTTATAACAGTAAAAAAGTAAACTAAACAGCCCTTTTCATGCCTTCAGTACAGTTAGTTAGTTAGTCTTTCCTCTTGAGCCTAAGGCTCGGGCATAGGGCAGAGGTCATAGCTCTCCATGTCTGCCGGTTCGCTGTCACCTGTCTTAGGTCTTGGATGTTCATTAGGCCCCTGGTTGAGCCTTTCCTGATGATGGTTCTATGCAGGGTCTCACTTGGTCTTCCCTGTTTTCTTTTCCCTTCTAGTTTCCATATAAGGGCTTGATGGGGGAGTCTTGTTTTATCCATTCTGAGTGTTTGGCTGATAAAGTACCAGTGGACATTTCTTATAAAATTAGATACATTATCAGCACAGTGCTGGACCTATATTTTTATAGAGCAATTGGTACTAAATGAATGATGTGGTCAAGATCACACTGGCTGCCTCTATGTCCCAAAACATAATCTTGTATTCATTTTCGAGTGGAATCATCCTGGGAGGTCAATTTTGAAAACCTCACATCAATGTTGATTCACACCACTGACCTTCAGTCAGTATCTAGCCACTGAGGTAAAGAGGCTCTCATGGAATAAAGTAGTGACGTGAAAAAACAACAAGTGCTACCTTTCATTACTCTGAATAAACTTCCATTACTGCAAGTATTCCGTATTTTTGTGGTGTAGGCAGGTGAGAGGAAGGGGTTTTCGCGCTGGAGAATTTAGGGCCACATAACTAGTGCAGTCCCTCTCATTTAATATCAGAAAGAGAGTGCTAAAATGTTAGATAGAACCTGTTCTGCTTTATGGCAGCAAATCTTGGCATGTTAGTGAACAAATTAAGAGGAATTTAGAAGCAAAAGAGATGTGGTTTCTGAGATGAATGTTACGAATATCTTGGACAGCCAGAGTAACTAACAACAATTGTTTGCAAGATGCTAATGAAAGTAGATCTCTATATACAACAATAAGGAGATAAACACTGTTCTTTGGCTACATAATGAGAAGAGAGGCATCGGAAAACATTGTGAAAACGGGAAAGATAAGTGGAAAGAGGGGTAAAGGCAGCAGACCAAGAGAGATGATGCTGGATGGGCTGAAACTTTGCATTGAGAAAAATCAAGAGAGCTGTTTCAGGCAATCAGGGATCGTGATCTGTGAAGATGCATGAATGCCTATGCCAGTTCACAGGGCACATGATGATGACGATGATGATGATGATGATGTACATATGAGAAGTCTGCAAATGACTAGAGCCAGAGACTGAGAGTAAATTGCACTCTACATCTTTTAACTCCTTCATTCAGAATAGATGCAATCTGCTAAATCAAACTTTCAAATTTCACAAGCAGAAAGTTAATAATATGCTATACTGAATGGCTCTGGGGAATGATGGCCAATTTATGTTCTATTTTTAGCTGCAAAATTAGTATACAATGATAATATCTCTATTTTCACAAAAGATTGCAGGACACATTGCCATGGGGTATTAATCAAGCCATTCCTTAATCTAGCCACTTAACACCACAAAATGTGTTTTTGTTTTATGGGGAATGCCTGGCCAAGTGGTCAGACTGCCCACTTCTCAGCCCTTGGTAATGGATAGAGACTTTTTTTATGTTGGGGTTTGTGGGAATAGCCTATCCTGCACGGTTCATGGGGAATGCATTAGCCACATAGCTTTAAATCAAGCTCATGACCCTACTGAAGCTCATGACCCCACTGTTCCATACCACCCTAAAAAATGGCCACTGATGTAGGAGTTCTTGCACCGAGGTAGGAGTAACAAATAAATGCAGCGTGCTCAGACCAGACAGAAAAAAAAGTTAGCTGGTTAGTCACAGTTCCAACTTCATGGAAAATGGATCACTCGACAATTGCTGCTCACATGTGCCAGGTAAAACCCCACAGCACGTCCATCACTGTCCCTTGCAAAACGCTAAAACAGACTGCAGTCGCTAGAAAGCCAAGAGCATACACACACGCACACACACACCTGTTAGAAGTATAGTAAAGTAAGTAAGTAAAGATCCCTTTTCACGCCTTTAGGAAGAGCACCCATATTTTTACAGACCAATTGGCACTAGTTAGGTAATGTGGTCCGCCGGCGGTCTTTACTTTCCTTAGGACATACACCCTGGTACCCATTTTAGGCTGGGTCGACCTGCGACACCCCATACCATCATAAAAATCCACGTAGCCAGCAGAAGGTTTTGATCGCGGAACGTTGGAATTAGGAGTCAGAGACGCAACGCCAGAGCCACAGACGCTGCACCTGTCAGAAGTGCCAACACAAACATTCTGAAACTAGAATCATATTTCATCGTCAATGGAAGCAGCAGTTACAACAAATCGGGGTGCTTTATTAATATCCTACCCCAGATGACGTCACAGGACAGTCCAACATTTTAGAGGATGGTAAGACTGGGTTTCCCGGTTTTCTGATGCTTTTAACGACCCCAAAACATCTAGAACTGGCCCTAACCCCAACCGACCTACGTCCTACGAGAAAGTGCAGCCTAGGTCCCACGACTGCATGCAGCATATCTACCATCCCCTGAAATATCAGATTGCCCCGTGACCTGTATATTTCTCCTGCTTGGGATATTACAATATTAAAAAAGCACCAACATCGGCAGCTGCACACACAATACGACATAAATAAACATGCTTAAAACGTAATGCTGACTTGAATACAGACAAAATATGTAAGCTTGAGATTAAGGAGTGAATTTTCAATGCGAATGTATAAGCAAGATGAATATCTAATCCATCAGCAACACTAGCATATAATCCCTTTATTTCAAATCCATCAGCGTCTACCTATCTTGCCATCTTATAAGTGATATTTCACAGATACATTACCAAGTAATATGGAGTCTATATCGCCAACTCAATATGTTTCCTACCTGAAATCATTTGCATCAGAAGAAGAAAGAAGAAAAGAAAGAAAGAAAGAAAGAAAGAAAGAAAGAAAGAAAGAAAGAAAGAAAGAAAGAAAGAAAGAAAGAAAGAAAAAAAGAAAGAAAGAAAGAAAGAAAGAAAGAAAGAAAGAAAGAAAGAAAGAAAGAAAGAAAGAAAGAAAAAGAAAGAAAGAAAGAAAGAAAGAAAGAAAGAAAGAAAGAAAGAAAGAAAGAAAGAAAGAAAGAAAGAAAGAAAGAAAGAAAGAAAGAAAGAAAGAAAGAAAGAAAGAAAGAAAGAAAGAAAGAAAGAAAGAAAGAAAGAAAGAAAGAAAGAAAGAGAGGAAACATTTTTTAAAGAAACAGTTTCAGCTCCCGTATATGCGTATGTGTGTGTTGACGCATACATTCTCAGTTACTCTGACTTTCCAAAGTATTGAAGGTTCAATGTACTGGGTGTCATGGTTATACTACTGTCTGTTCAATGTACTTGCTATTCAGTGCATCTGGCTGTTCAAGGCATTTGCAATATTCCTCTCAGAAACTGGGAGCCGCCATGTTGTAGCGGCTAGACATTCGCCTGAGGATCGGAAGTTAGTGGGTTCGTGTCCTGATCGAGGCTGACTTTTTCAAAAATGGACCTTGGCTCTCAGGTCGGCACAGCCTTGAATGGGTACCGGGTACAGTCTTGGGAAGTAAAGGCGGCAGGCATCATTTTTTTTATAACTTTACTTATCTTACTAATTATTTAGTTTCCTTGTACCATAAACTAATTCAAGTCACAAACCAAGAAACTCTAGACAGTATGATAACCAGGAGAATATGAAAATTGCTTGGCCACGTTATGAGAATGAATCCTGATATGCCTGCCAAAACAGTTCTCACATGGATACCAGAGGGAAAGAGAAAAAAGGGGCACCCAAAAACAACATGGAGACGAACGGTGGAGAGTGACCTGAATGCGGCATCTATGACATAGACAACTGCGCTGAAGATTGCAGAGGTCAGGAGAGCGTGGGAGGTCCTCTCTGAAACCTCATGTGCCACTAAGCATAAAGAGAATTGATGATGATGATTTCTGTAAAACGGATGTTCATGAAGTATACGAGAACTGATGAAAATGATATCTGTAAAAAGGATGTTCATGAAGTATACGAAAACTGATGAAAATGATATCTGTAAAACGAATGTTCATGAAGCATTCAAGTTCTGGAGCAAGACCAAAGTCTAGAAGTAGAGAAAAACCAGAACTTTGTGCCAGCGTTTACAGCCGATGAATACGAAGAAGAAGCAAAAGAAGAAGCAGTAAAATATATCAATACATATTATTCAAAAAGTAAAGTTGTATGTATCATATCTCTGATGACTTCCACATTCTAGTCTACATGCAGCCAAACTGAGTGTCCCTGTTGATCACATGACCAAACAACACTGCTTAATTCTTTCAAAGCTGCATAAAAAGTTATAGTTTCATTAACATCTTGCTTATAATAATTATCAGTTACTGTTTCTGGTCGTTTGTCCAGCTCTGGATTTTAGTCTCGCTCTAGAACTTCAGTCTTATGTGCACATTAATTTTACATATCTGGTGTACGCAGACTGTTGGTTCCTTGCCTCTCCGGCAGACGCACTCGACTATAAGGAAATGACCTTAAATTACTTTTACGAGATGCTGGGGGGGGGGGGGTAAGATCCCGGAATTCACACGAATGGGGGGGGGGGGGGGGGGTTGAGGTACACTGGCTGTTCAATGTATTGGATATTCTGAGTACTGTCTGTCAAATGTATTCGCAACAGAATTCTCAGAAATCATATCACCGCTGCCTCTATCTT